TAAGCAATTTCTTATCATCTTTGAAATATTGGAGCTGAGATATCGACGTCCCAACATGGGTAGTCATTGGGGTCATTCTGTGGCCCCATAAATTTCTATTGAAGAAAGCTATCGCCAAAGCTCCGCCCGTTTTTGTAAGCGTGTGTGTGGGGCCACCTGTTAGCAATTTTGCAAAATTTTTAGCTGTTCAGTAGCACAAAATGAAAAAACTCTGTGATTTGGAACTTTTAGCCTATGAAAGAAGTTAAAAAACTCTGACAATTTGGCATTTTAATTTTTTTTCCTTTCGCAGGTCTTCTTCGTCCAAGCTCTTTTATCTCCTTTTCTACTATTGGCTTGCGGCTACAAGTTGGGCTACTTATAAATTGAGCTAACCAACTTTGAAGTCAGTTATGATTTGTCAAAAACGAGCTTTTAGAAAAAACATTTTGTTTTTCAATCCATATTTTTCCGCACGTTTGTGTTATGTGGATAGCTAAATGTGCGCTATATTGCGAAAGGATTGCTGCTTCTGATGGTTTTTATCCGAAAATTTTGGTTTTTTTAAAAGCTTGTAGCATGTTAAATTGAGAACTTGCAAAACGCTAGTTACTTTTGCACCAAAAAATACGAGGAGGTGGCAGTGTAGATCTACAATGTAATGTAAATTCTAGTGTAATTTTTTCCATGACTGCTAATGAAGCGTAACTTTCGCTTGCTTCCCCTCCTTTTCACTTCCAGTCAGGTCGAATCTCAATTCTTTGTCGATTCTTCTGAACCGCTCCCTAAGCTCATCGGCATTGTCGAGCCACGAGTTCTTCTCTTTTTTTGAACAGAAAAGCATCTAAATATTTACCGAATAAAATGCTGATGCTGATAAAAATTTCAATACCTTATCGTATTTTCCAAAATGCATAAAATAACACGAGGGGAAATGCCTAGAGTAGACGAAATGTACCTGAATATGACAAAACATATGATTCACTTCTTGCTACAGAATAAAGGTCTTACCTTATCGGCTTCTGCTACTTTCTCTTGTCGAGTAACTATATTTACAATAACAGCACCTGCATAGGAATATTAAATTTCAAACTACGCCTCATCAAGATTTTTTTACCATCAGGTTTGAGTACTTTGTTCATTTGTTCAATTTCCTCGTCAACCATAAACTCTTCTATGGGAGCCATGAGATCTCTGTGCTCGTTGTAGCAGACATCTATCAAGAGGACGTCGTAGATTTCACCTGGAAAATGGTGTATTTGAATGAATTTTTTTCTAAAAAATCTTTTACCACATCATTTTTGGATCCCTTTCTTGTTTGTTAAATGATTCTATCTACTTTTGGAAGTGATATGACCAAGTTTGTAATTTTTTCATAGCATATCAATATATGAAATATCGAACAGCTAGGGTTCTACAAGGTCAAGGAAAAGTTTTACCTTTTTTACTGGCTTCACGAATAAAACGAAGACCATCATCCACGACTATTCTCTGCATAGGGGTTGTTTCAAGCTCGTACCACTTTTCTGCGATTTTCTTCATGACCGGATCATTATCCACAACGGTGACATTCAGCTAGATGAATTTACTCCGATAGGGGGATCCATAAGTCAAACAAAAGAAAATCAGCAATTTGCAAGATGATCTTTCTCAACTTGCAATGTTTGAAAGTCATTTTACACCATACCTGGAGCTTATCCAAGGAGTTGAAGTAATTATTTATGATGCCTCCTCCCAATCCTATCATCA